TGGTTGCTGGTCCACAGAGGCTCACGTGCAAGTATGCACAGAGTGATGAGTCACAGTCCGTTGGCGCAGGGTTTCAAGTCTTCCAATATTCATTGGACACAATGGACACAAATGCTTAAGCAACCATTGCTACGTTTTGACGGTTGTAGCCACGCTCTTTCAGGCTTTTGCTCGCCTTCCCAGAACATCGCCTTTGCAGACATCCCCAACGGCCTCAAGGCCGCGCCGATGGTACCGCTCATCGGCTGGACGCAGATCGTGGGATTCGTCGGCGTCATTGAGATCCTGAACCTGCAGAAGATCCAGGAGGGGGACGTCTTGGGTGACTATGGCTACGGTGCATTCGGACTGCCCTTCGGCAAGAAGATTGAGGACAAGGAGAAGAAAATGAAGAGCCTCAACGCCGAGATCAACAACGGCCGCCTGGCGATGATGGCCATCATTGGCATGTTCTTCCAAGACGGCCTGACAGGAAGCGCCTGGGGTGACTGGGCGAACTACGCCGACAGCCCTCTGCGAGCCTTCGAGTCTGAGCTGGGAGTTCAGGCCCCGGTGGGTTTTTGGGATCCCGTTGGCTACACTCGCGATGGCAGCGCGGAATCGTTCAAGCGCCGCAGGGAGACGGAGGTCAAGCACGGCCGCGTGGCCATGTATGCCACGATGGGCTACATCGTGCCAGAGTACTTCAAGTGGCCAGGATACTTGTCCCCGTCCATGGGCTTGAAGTTCGCTGACGTGCCCAACGGCTTTGCTGCGATTACCAAAGTTCCTGGCAACGGGTGGGCGCAGATCGTGGCCTTTGCCGGGTACTACGAGCTCTTCGTCTACAAGTTCAACGGCACCCCGGGAGACTATGGATGGAAGGCCATCAGCTCTCCAGATGCCGAGGTGAAAAAGCGCAAGTTGAACGCTGAGTTGGCGAACGGCCGCCTGGCCATGATGGCCATCATCGGCATGTTCTTCCAAGACGGCCTGACAGGAACCGCTTGGGGCGACTGGGCCAACTACACCGACAGCCCCCTGCGAGCCTTCGAGTCTGAGACTGGCGTTCAGCCTCCGGTGGGCTTTTGGGACCCGCTGGGCCTGTCCGCCAGCGGGAACTTGTCCGATTTCAAGCGCCGCAGGGAGGTCGAGTTGAAGCACGGCCGGGTTGCCATGTTTGCCACCATCGGCTACATCCTTCCGGAGTACTGGCGCTTCCCCGGGTACTTGTCCAAGTTTCTGATCTACGTTAGCATAGTGCTTTTCACCTTATCCCAATTTGGCTTGAACAGCTGAAGGAACATATTCATCACCACTTCATTTTTCTCGTTGTTGCTTCTTGTCCGTTTCACGGCACATTGAAACAAAGCGTTCAACGAATTCGCGCATTTCTTAGGTTCCTGGACGTGAAGTTCGCAGATGTGCCCAACGGCCTGGGGGCTTTCTCCAAGGTCCCAGCGCTGGGCTGGCTGCAGATTGTGGGCTTCGCCGGCATCGTGGAGATCAACATCTACAACGAGCAGGTCAACGACGCCTGCTTTGTTTGTGTGTGACCCAAGTGGTTCAGCAAATCTGCAGCGCGTTGGTTTCAGAACTGGGGCTTACGAATCAGGTTCCACGGTCCATGGTCCATGGTCGGGCCAGTTTGTGAACCATGGTTATATTGTTTGTTTCAACCTCGATCCCAAGTTAACACAACACAAGGCGTCCCTTTCCAACTGCTACCCTGTCAACCGTCCAACAAAGGCACCCTCAAGGTGATAGGTGCAAGTGAGTACCTTGCGAGGATTTGAAATCCGCAGTTTCCCCCAATCCAAACCAGTTAGGGGGTAGGGTGAGTTGAGGGAACATCGTCTGGTGAATCAACTTTAGACGAACGTTTGACAACTGAGCATCGCTTATAGCAGTAAAGGGGATGGCATTGGGCACAGCAGAATCAACGACATCAGGACAGCATTAGCAAAGGGGATTCCATCAGGACATGGGTCACGAGAATCCAACGTCAGCTGGGGGCACAATGAAAATTGACCTTGGCTTGTCCCAGGATGAGCCTGGGAACTACGGCGCCGGCTTTTTGGGCCTGCGCTCGGTGGGCATCATGAACAGCGGCATCACCGACCCAGAGGTGCGCAAGAAGAAGCTGAATGCGGAGCTGGCGAACGGCCGCCTGGCCATGATGGCCATCATTGGGATGTTCTTCCAGGACATGTCTTTGAGCCCAGGGGCAATGCATTTGTGTGTGTGATGTCCGGCGGTCATGTCATGTCATGTTGTGTCATTTTACACTGTTTTGTTATGAAACAACACCGTAGTGTAATGTACTGTGATGTGGTGTTATGTATGTAATGTAATGTGACGTGATGTGATGCGATGTAGCTCTCCAGCTGCGGCGCGGAGGGAATCGGAATGAGGTGCATTGCTCTCTGTGGTTGTTGCCGAGTTTCGACCTAATCATTGCACGCAGGATGCTCCCCTTTGCGCTCGTTGTTGGTTGAAGCTGCTCTGCCAATGGAGAGAAACCCTGCACCCAGACAAAACGGAACGCTTCATGCGGCCGAAGGGCCGCTGCAGCTGACCGTGGTTTGCAAGAACTTGGTGCCGCACCTGCTGCAGGGGGCAAGTATACTTGTCCCCACTGCTCGGATCCACCTGTGACCATGTTTTTGCGCTCCCTGCGACAGCATGTTGCAAAATGTTCCCAGCTATCTCAAGAGGTTCGTGATCGCCAGGCAGCTCAGAGGCGTCAGTCCACACAACCAGCCGAGCAACCGGTTGTTGCTCCAAAGGCAGCGCCTGTTGCGAAAGCTGCTCCTGCTGCCCGGCGGCTCCTGCCGATCCTGCTGCGCAAGGCAAGGTTCGGAAATCTCGGGCTCGGGATGATTGGGATCCAGTTGCGGTTCGTGAAGCTTACAAGACGAGATATCCTCATCGGCAAATGAGCCTGACGGATTTGCCAGTTCCTAGGAATCCGGACCATTTGGACACCTTTACCTGCTTATATTGCCTCGAGAAGTTTCCCACAGGAGGACGTCGTGCTTCCCACACTTTGGGTTGGAAGATGCCATATAGGGAATGGCTCCGGAGAGTGCGTATCTGTCAAGATGATTTCAAAGCTTCCCGGTTTACCTGCCCCCATTGCAAAACGGGCCTCGCCACACCAAAAGCGGTTGGTAAACACAGCACCTCGTGTGCGCAGCGAAGAACAGCGGAAGGTCTCTCGTTGCGCACGCATGAGTTTTTTGACCTCTGAAGCTGCTGGTAGCCCCGCCAATCTCCCTTTGTTGCGCGGCCATGGTGAATCTTGCGGAGTTGCGGGTCAAAGCTGCAAAAGCAAGGTGTTGGTGGTGCTCATGAGCGTGGGTCCAAGCGCTTTGCCCCAGCTGGTCGTGGTGCTGCTGCTCCAGCTGAGGGCTCTGACGAGGTTCTCACGCGGCTTCTGCGTTTTTCCTTGCACCAGGCCACAGCTCTGGACCATGTCCAACAAGGTGCTGTAGTGGTCTTTGTGGTGTCGCATGAGCCAATGCAACAGAAGCTTCTGGAGGCGGTGCAGCTGTGGGACCAGCTTTTGCCTCCACAGCCTCAGCTTGGCCAGTGGGTGCCGCATCCTCTTGGCGAGCGACGATGCTTCCTTTTCGCTTCAATGGTTGAGCAGCTTGGGACCCTCCCCTTTGCCAAAGACGTTGCTGACCACTTGAAGGGCCTTGAAGCCATGGACATCCAAACGCAGCTGAAGATGAACTTGGGTGCCTTTGGTCCCAGATACCCGACACCCAGGGCCAGCAGAGCCTGGGTGTTTGAGCTGACGGTGTCCAGCTTGTGTGAAGATGCCTTCCGAAGGCCTCTCCATGGCATCATGTCCTATCTGCAGACCCATCGTTCTGATTTGATCAAAATCGAAGCCATGCGCAAAGGCCCTCAAGGCCTGCGACAGAGCTTGTGGGAAGACCTCAAGCGTCTCCAGCCACCGCCTGCACGATGAACTTTGTTTTCCATCTCTCCTCAGTGTGTACAGTTTTCAAGAAAGCCACATGATGCAGCCTTGGCAGGGACTGGGATAAGCTGACATGCGTGGTCCTTGTCCTCGCCACTTTTTGCTTTGTTTTTGACTGGTGAGCACGGAGCAGCCAAAGGGTTCCGTGCGCGCTTTACTCATTTGTGCTTTGACAGCCACTTCATTTCCAGATGATGCCTGTTCCATGAGTGTGCTTCCTGTGCAGTTGGCCAGGTCTTTTCGCGTATTTGCGTCTCCTTCCTATTGGTGCCGGGGGAGGAGCAACCCACGCTGACCACCGGGGTCCCCGTGGGCACGAGGGTGGCACGACACGAATCGCTGCTACCCGCGCTTTTGGCATGCGGCGCATCAACCGTGGAGAAGGTGGTCAAACCGACCTGCAATCCCTTCAGATATGAATGTTCTTCCAGGACATGTCTTTGAGCCCAGGGGCAATGCATTTGTGTGTGTGATGTCCGGCGGTCATGTCATGTCATGTTGTGTCATTTTACACTGTTTTGTTATGAAACAACACCGTAGTGTAATGTACTGTGATGTGGTGTTATGTATGTAATGTAATGTGACGTGATGTGATGCGATGTAGCTCTCCAGCTGCGGCGCGGAGGGAATCGGAATGAGGTGCATTGCTCTCTGTGGTTGTTGCCGAGTTTCGACCTAATCGTTGCACGCAGGATGCTCCCCTTTGCGCTCGTTGTTGGTTGAAGCTGCTCTGCCAATGGAGAGAAACCCTGCACCCAGACAAAACGGAACGCTTCATGCGTCCAGAAGTTTTGGAGGGAATCACGCCCGAGCTGAAGTTCCTCGGCGGGTTCTTCCAACATGACGACAGCACTTCGGCTGACAGCCGGCGCAGGCTGACCCCGGCCTCCCACTTGTGGTGAGAAAAGGACTCTTGTGTTGAGTCTAGCGCCGCAATTGCAAGGACAACTCGTCGTAGCGTCTCAGCCTTTATTGCCGTTCAGAGCTTCAGCAATATCAAGGGCTGTGTAACCGCATGACCTTCGGACTTACCAAGCAACGCAGAAAAAACACATGCAACAAGACCAACTTACCTTGAGTGATTCCGCCAGCGTTTGGGCACGAAGGCTGTACGTCATGAGATCGGGCTTTTCAAAGTTGCCTTTCGTGACTCTCTTGCATGCAAGTGTGGCCGCTGAGGTGGCTTGACTTTGCTGCCGAGGCGTCCCCTTCAAGAAGTGGAGCCAGGCGCGAGGCAACGTAGCTACTTGGCAGTCCAGACACGCCCCTGGAGATGTCAGAGCTCAGAAAGCTCGAGAGCGCGTGCAGATGTTGCCAGCTGGCAAGTACCAGTGTCCACGCTGCGTAGCTCGCAAGTTGCAAGTAGGTCCATGTGGCAGCTTCCCGACGAACAGTGTGCCTCGCTTGCTGCCAGACGTGCTAAGAGGCATCAAATTTGACAGCGTCTGCGCAACACCTGCTGCTGCGTCGGCAGACGCAGAGCCGGCGCCAGCCGCGCTAGTGTGCCGAACGGCGGCCCAACTGCCTGAGGCGACGTGAAAGGGGCAAGCAACCCCGCGACGACCCGTTGCGGCAAGTTTGGAGTTGCCTCCTCCAACAGCCCCCACCGGTTTGCCCGCTACTCAGTGTTACTTTTGCCGTGTCAGCATTGAATCCGTAGGATGCCTCACGGACTTCAAATGCCCCACTGCGGCGCCAGAAGGCAAAGGGAACTCACTCTACTAAATGCGCGCAGCGGCTTGAGATGCATGGTTTGAGTCTACGTCCAGGTGTGTTTCACGATACTGACAGCAGCGTTTAAGGGCAGGCGACGGGTGAGCTTGAGCAGCGCGCCAAACGCTGTGCCCATGGCCTCCAGGTGATGCGGGCGATCCCGTTTCAGCTTGTGCCAAGCAACCGCGCTTGAGCACCTTCAGTAAGAATCCATGCGCAAGTCCTTGCAGGGGCAGCCAACCTTGTGGTGACAACAGAGCAAATCTGCACCATCTCATGTCCGGCGCAAGAGTGCTTGGTGCAGCGGCGGCAGGACACAGTCCTTTGCACGAGGGCGACTTCCATGACTTGCGGCAGCGCCGTTTCCGTCGTGCAGACTTCGCCGCGCGTTGCGCGCAGTGTTTCCCGACGGCATCCATATTTCAAGCCTTGTTCCAACAGAGCCGCGGCTTGCGTGGCCTTCGCAAGATGGCAGCAGGGGCCTTTGGGCCGCCTTGAGGTTGGTCTCCGAAGTCGCCGGTGGAACACGCGCGGCTGCGGGTTCCGGACGCAGCTCGTCCCCTCGCATGTGGCCTTGGTCTCCAACGCAGGTCTCATTGACGTTGGTGCTTTTTTCTCCAACGATGCCTGGCCTTTCTGGCGCCCAAATTCCAACTCCATAAACTCCACTCCAACCCCACCGCAACTCCAGCCATTCCAACCCCGCTCCCGTCCCACACCAACTCCATTGAACCAACACCCCGACTCCCCAACTCCACCGCAGCCCCGCCCTGCAACTCCGCCCCAATTCCACCCCAACGTGATCCAGCCCCGCCCCAACGGCCAACTCCAGCCAACTCCACTCCACTTCAACACCACCCCAACTCCACCCCAACTTGATTTCAAGCCCGCCCCAGTTCCATTCCGCGCTTCTACCCCACTCCCGCCCCAATTCCGCTCCCACTCCACCATTTCCAACTCCACCCCAACTTCGGTGTAGCGTGGTCGGGGTGTCGCGCACGTGACGGCTTCTCGTGCCGCACGTGTGTGAAAACGCAGGTAGGTCTGCGCGTGTGTGCAGATGCACGTGCGTAGCTTGTGTGTGGATGTGGGTTTGTGTATGTGGGTGGAAGTATTTGTGTGTGCGGATGTGCGTGTATGCACGTACGCGTGTGTGCGTCTATGCGTGCAGTTATGCAGTATGAATGTATGCAGGTAGCATGTATGCACACATGTATGTACGTCTGCGTGTCTGTCAGTCTGTCCGTCCGTCTGTTTGCGTGTCGGTCTGTCTGCCAGTTTGCATTCATTATTATTTACGTTTGTATGGACGGGATGTTTTGCTGACTGTTGCGTTACATGCGCACAAACCGCTCGGCATTCCGTTGAGTCTGTTGTGTGGCTTTGTGCTTATTGACTGCCTGTGGCTTATCTTTGAACTCGCTGGGCGGCTAACTTGCTTTTGTTCTGCTTGTTGGTCCCGGCGCATTGCCTTGCAGACTGGCATTCCATCAACCTTGACATGGTTGAGCGTGTAAGCAGCGGACGTGCAGTGTTGGCCCTGAAGCGTCACATGTGGTCAAGGCCGGCTTACTATTGGCTGACGCGTGTGGGTGGTCATGGGCTCACCAAGGCGAACTTAGACCATTTTCAGGACAAATCCATGACCAGTCCCCATAATTCGGCTGAGTTTCAGTAGCAAGCATGTGATGCACCAGGACGGCCTCACCGGCAGCGCCTGGGGTGACTGGGCCAACTACACGGCCTCTCCTCTGCGCTGATGAGAGTGGCCACCCAGGCGCGAGGTGTCTTTCTTCCAATGTTCTTTCAGATTGAGTCAAATGTGCCAGGGTTCAAAGACATGCTTATTCGAGGTTTGTAGATTTGAGAAGGAGGTTAATTAGTCAATCAACATTAGGCTTGGCTTTGAGGAGTTACCCTCAACATTGACTAGCACTTGCACTAAAGTTTTCGCTGGGCTGCCTTCCATGTGCAGATTTGTTCAAGCAGATCATTTTGTGACAGATGCCCATTCTAGACTCAATTTGTTTGCCTGTTTGCTTGTTTGCTTGTTTGCTTGTTTGCTTGTTTGCTTGTTTGCTTGTTTGCTTGTTTGCTTGTTTCTTTTTTTGTTTGTTTGTTTGTTTGTTTGTTTGTTTGTTTGTTTGCGTGCGTTTGTCTTTTGTATAAGGCATGTGCTGCATGCATTCGACATGGGTATTTTCTGATGCCAGCTGCCGCTCATGCGCATGCTGGCTGATCAAGATGGCCCTGCTGCAACGCCCTTTTCCCGGGCTCTTTTTATTATTATGTAGCTTGGATCCTGCCTTTGATAAATGTTGCGCACGAACTGTCAAGCAAAGCATCTGTGTTTTCCTGGAGTCGAAGCTGTAACCAACACCTGGCCGTCAGCTTGCCGACCGGTCAGGACCTGGCCGAGAGCGACAAGCTTTGGGAGGAAGGCATGCAGGATACGTGTTTTGAAGACCCGGTGGCTTCAAGCGGACACCAAAGGGAGAACTGCTTGGAGGGACCCTGGTTTCAGCCCTTGGATGGAACATGAGTAGTCAATGCTTATCATTTGCGGTACAGGGGATGATGTGGAGATGCCACACACCAAGTTGCACACATTCCCATTCCGTGTCGAGGCTAATGTGACTGGCCGACAACTTTTTGTGCTGATCGAGTTGGGGAGGGATAGGACTACCCTGTAAAATATACCTAGCCAATGGTCCCAGATTTATTTGAGGGGAGCAAGACACATTGTTCATGACTTGTATGTCAAGCAGTGAGGGTTTTTGTATATGCCTTGGACACCCAATACATGATGTGCTCAGAAGAACTGCCACGGCTTAGGACAGGAGTGGCATTATTCCTTGCGCATTTGCTCGCCCTCTGAATTTAATTCTCCCAGACAACCTCAGACTGTGGGAAGTCCACTTGCATGGCTCTTGCTTCGGTCCCCCGGACTCTCCCAGATGTTCTTGGCAGAGTTGGCACGCTCAGAGGTACAAAGTCTGGCTTTTTCATTCGAAGTATGGCTCTTGGCATTCGATTTGCGTGCGGGCTTCGGGCTTCGGGATTCGGGCTTCCAGCAAAGGATTCCATGGATAGCGCAGCCAATAGACACCTCCGCATCTGAGTGCAACTTTTCTCCTGCGCAGGTGCCTGAATCTGGCAATTGACCAGACCTGGTGGACCAAAATTGTATTGCACTGCATTCGACCGGAGCAATTGCTTGGGCAACAGTGTGACACATGCAAATGAGCGCTATCACTTTTGCTGTATTTGGGCTCGAAGCGAGTAGGCTTTGTACAGAATCATAAATTGTACAATTTTATTTTCCTCGCCCCTCGCGCGGATTTTCTAATTTACCAACTTTTTGTAAACGAGCCTTGGAGCCTCATTAGGATTGATTGCGAGCAGCTTGAAACCACTAGAACGTTGTCGGGAATAAAGTTGTTTATCAGAGAGTTCTGGAAGCTTTGCAGCTGTGTCCGGCCCGCCTTTGGCGTGTACAACTCCTTGTGCCAAGGATGTCCTCCACATCGCGAGCCACTCTTGCTTCTGCAGGCAAGCGAGCCATTCGATGTGCTTGCTGACATGTTGCAGGTGTTGGCTATCAGGCCATTCTTCATTTCAACACCTCGAGTTGCCAGGCGCTGCGCTTCTCGGCGGAGCGGCCTTTGTGTCTACTGGACCGTCACGCACCGGACACCTGCGGGTCGCGCTGCCCGGTTTTCCGTGACACCCGATTCGCTTCGGCAGAAATGGAAATTCGCTTACGCGGAAAATTCTTTGGGGAGGCAACTGCAACGGCAGCCTCTTCGCCAGCCCCCGGACAGGCCAAGACGCTTTTGCATGGCGCATTCCGCAAGCAAGGTTAAGGCCTCTCTTTTGCATTCCTGATGAATCAATATCACTCGTTCCAGCTAAGAAATGTGCAGAGTTGGTTGGACTTCAATCATTTTGCAGGTCACTATGGTTGCACATTGGGACTGCAAGTGCCAGGCACACAATGTTGCCGGCCTTGCCGTCGCCAGCGCGGCGGCTGCCACTTGTTTTGCCAGCCGCAAGGTGCGGGGCCCCAAGGCCTATGCGGCCTATGCGTAACTCGGGCGGGCGCGGAGGTTTCATACTCGACTGAGATGATAAGGCCATGGGTCAAAAGCCAATCCCAATCCCCACTCAACTCGGTTCTAAAATGGGTGGTGCATTCACCTACCCTAAAATGGAAATTGATTGGCTTTGACCCACAGCCAGAACTGTCTGACACTCCCAAAGACATCGTTAGGGAAAGTACGCCAGCGCCTGGTCCTGCAGATAGTTCAGTCAAACTTGCCAAGGCCTCGGCAACAAGCGCCCGACATCAGCTGGTGCGCTCCTTACAGGTGAAAGTAGATGTCACAATCCCCTGATTTTGATTTAGTCATCCCCCTCTTAGCCTTGCCATCCACTTTCACGGTGTAATTCGCTGTCAGGTGACACTGAGCGCCTTCGAGAATGAGCTTGGAGTGCAAGCTCCAGTGGGATTTTGGGATCCCGCCGGGTTCACGGCAGATGCTTATCCTAATTGCTCTTACGCCATTTTCCTTTCAACCATTTGGACCAACAAACTGTTGTGCCCACTGGCAAGAAGTTCAACTTTTTTGCAGCCAAATCCCAGGATGGCAGCACCGAGAACTTTGCTCGCCGCCGCCAGACGGAGCTTAAGCATGGTCGCATCTCCATGCTTGCCACAATGGGATACATTACTCCAGAGATCACCGGCAAATTGCCCGGGTACCTTAGTCCTTCGGCTGGCCTGAAGTTCGCGGATGTCCCCAACGGCCTCGCGGCGATTTCCAAGGTGCCCGCTGCAGGGTGGGGTCAAATCTTGGCTTACATGGCCTTCTGCGAGGTGTCCCAGGACCAGTCGGCGGGAACTCCTGCTGCGGCGGGCGACTTCGGATTCAAGGTGCTGACTGCCTCGGACCCGGAGGCGAAAAAAACGAAGCTCGCCGCGGAGTTGGCGAACGGCAGACTTGCGATGATGGCCATCATCGGCATGTTCTTTCAAGACGGCCTGACAGGAAGCGCCTGGGGTGACTGGGCCAACTACACCGCCTCGCCGCTGCGCGCCTTCGAGAACGAGCTCGGGGTGCAGGCGCCAAGTTTTTTTTTTTTGAATACCAGAAGTATCATTATTTGACATCTCTGCGTGATTGTGACCATGGAGCATGTGGTTTTTCAACGGTAGCCGTGCAGGGTTTGATCATCATAGCGATTGAACGTCATCAGCACGCAACGCACAACACGTATAGACATATACACTGACTTGCGCTTGCTTTTTAGTTGGCTTTGCGGGGCGGTTGATTCACGTCATCAGGTTGATCAAGAAGAGATAGAAGGTACACAACTATGTACTTGACAAGCATGGCTGTGAAGCCTTGTAGTAGCATGGTTGTTGATAGCTCATAAAATGTGCTGCCAGGGGGTAGTCTTCAAGATGTTGCATGCGTAAGTTTAAGGGTTGCTTAAGGATAACATGATTTGACACCACGCCCAGCACACTGGATGCAGGGACATGACGTTATTTCATGTTTCGAGTATGCAGACATCCCTTTGTATCGTTTCATGGGTTGACAAGCCGACATCAAGGCATCGCGTGATTTGATCGCACGATTTCATCACACGACGCAGACAGCCAAGGTGTCATTGAAGGCGCAGAGGGTTACACCGAATTTGGCCCGAAGACACGAAGACACGAAGACACGAAGACACGAAGACACGAAGACACGAAGACACGAAGACACGAAGACACGAAGACACGCATCTTCAGGGCTTCAGGGCTTCAGGGCTTCAGAGGCGGTTTCAGGTCTTCAGGGCATCGGGTTTTCAGGGAGTCAGCAGGGCTTGGGCGAAGACGCGAAGACGCGAAGACGCGAAGACACGAACACACGAGCCTTCAGGGCTTCAAGGCGTCAGGCTAAAAACGTAACCCGCTGCACCTGCTCTGGTGTGTGTATTGATACATGCACGAACTTCAAAGTTTCAAGGTGCAAGAGTTTTGTGGCAGGCTCCTGTGGGATTTTGGGATCCCGCCGGGTTCACGGCCGATGGCAGCACCGAGAACTTTGCTCGCCGCCGCCAGACGGAGCTTAAGCATGGTCGCATCTCCATGCTTGCCACAATGGGATACATTACTCCAGAGATCACCGGCAAATTGCCCGGGTACCTTAGTCCTTCGGCTGGCCTGAAGTTCGCGGATGTCCCCAACGGCCTCGCGGCGATTTCCAAGGTGCCCGCTGCAGGGTGGGGTCAAATCTTGGCTTACATGGCCTTCTGCGAGGTGTCCCAGGACCAGTCGGCGGGAACTCCTGCTGCGGCGGGCGACTTCGGATTCAAGGTGCTGACTGCCTCGGACCCGGAGGCGAAAAAAACGAAGCTCGCCGCGGAGTTGGCGAACGGCAGACTTGCGATGATGGCCATCATCGGCATGTTCTTTCAAGACGGCCTGACAGGAAGCGCCTGGGGTGACTGGGCCAACTACACCGCCTCGCCGCTGCGCGCCTTCGAGAACGAGCTCGGGGTGCAGGCGCCAAGTGTTTTTTTTGAATACCAGAAGTATCATTATTTGACATCTCTGCGTGATTGTAACCATCGAGGATGTTATTTTTTTCAACGGTAACCGTGCAGGGTTTGATCATCACAGCGATTGAACGTCATCAGCACGCAACGCACAACATGTATAGACATATACACTGACTGCACTTGCTTTTTAGTTGGCTTTGCGGGGCGGTTGATTCCCTTCATCAGGTTATCAATAAGAGATAGAAGATACACAACTATGTACTTGACAAGCATGGCTGTGAAGCCTTGTAGTAGCATGGTTGTTGATAGCTCATAAAATGTGCTGCCAGGGGGTAGTCTTCAAGATGTTGCATGCGTAAGTTTAAGGGTTGCTTAAGGATAACATGATTTGACACCACGCCCAGCACACTGGATGCAGTGACATGACGTTATTTCATGTTTCGAGTATGCAGACATCCCTTTGTATCGTTTCATTGGTTGATAAGCAGACATCAAGGCATCGCGTGATTTGATCGCACGATTTCATCACACGACGCAGACAGCCAAAGTGTATTGATACATGCACGAACTTCAAAGTTTCAAGGTGCAAGAGTTTTGTGGCAGGCTCCTGTGGGATTTTGGGATCCCGCCGGGTTCACGGCCGATGGCAGCACCGAGAACTTTGCTCGCCGCCGCCAGACGGAGCTTAAGCATGGTCGCATCTCCATGCTTGCCACAATGGGATACATTACTCCAGAGATCACCGGGAAATTGCCCGGGTACCTTAGTCCTTCGGCTGGCCTGAAGTTCGCGGATGTCCCCAACGGCCTCGCGGCGATTTCCAAGGTGCCCGCTGCAGGGTGGGGTCAAATCTTGGCTTACATGGCCTTCTGCGAGGTGTCCCAGGACCAGTCGGCGGGAACTCCTGCTGCGGCGGGCGACTTCGGATTCAAGGTGCTGACTGCCTCGGACCCGGAGGCGAAAAAAACGAAGCTCGCCGCGGAGTTGGCGAACGGCAGACTTGCGATGATGGCCATCATCGGCATGTTCTTTCAAGACGGCCTGACAGGAAGCGCCTGGGGTGACTGGGCCAACTACACCGCCTCGCCGCTGCGCGCCTTCGAGAACGAGCTCGGGGTGCAGGCGCCAAGTGTTTTTTTTGAATACCAGAAGTATCATTATTTGACATCTCTGCGTGATTGCGACCATCGAGGATGTTTTTTTGCAACGGTAGCCGTGCAGGGTTTGATCATCATAGCGATTGAACGTCATCAGCACGCAACGCACAACACGTATAGACATATACACTGACTTGCGCTTGCTTTTTAGTTGGCTTTGCGGGGCGATTGATTCACGTCATCAGGTTTATCAATAAGAGATAGAAGATACAACTATGTACTTGACAAGCATGGCTGTGAAGCCTTGTAGTAGCATGGCTGTTGATAGCTCATAAAGATGTACGTGTTGCCAGGGCATAGTCTTCAAGATGTTGCATGCGTAAGTTTAAGGGTTGCTCAAGGATAACATGATTTGACACCACGCCCAGCACACTGGATGCAGTGACATGACGTTATTTCATGTTTCGATTTCATACAGTATGTAATTTCTTGATTGGTTGCATGCAGACATCCCTTTGTATCGTCTCATGGGTTGATAAGCAGACATCAAGGCATCGCGTGATCTGATCGCACGATTTCATCACACGACGAAAACAGCCAAAGTGTATTGTGATACATGCACGAACTTCAAAGTTTCAATTTGCAAGAGTTTTGTGGCAGGCTCCTGTGGGATTTTGGGATCCCGCCGGGTTCACGGCCGATGGCAGCACCGAGAACTTTGCTCGCCGCCGCCAGACGGAGCTTAAGCATGGTCGCATCTCCATGCTTGCCACAATGGGATACATTACTCCAGAGATCACCGGCAAATTGCCCGGGTACCTTAGTCCTTCGGCTGGCCTGAAGTTCGCGGATGTCCCCAACGGCCTCGCGGCGATTTCCAAGGTGCCCGCTGCAGGGTGGGGTCAAATCTTGGCTTACATGGCCTTCTGCGAGGTGTCCCAGGACCAGTCGGCGGGAACTCCTGCTGCGGCGGGCGACTTCGGATTCAAGGTGCTGACTGCCTCGGACCCGGAGGCGAAAAAAACGAAGCTCGCCGCGGAGTTGGCGAACGGCAGACTTGCGATGATGGCCATCATCGGCATGTTCTTTCAAGACGGCCTGACAGGAAGCGCCTGGGGTGACTGGGCCAACTACACCGCCTCGCCGCTGCGCGCCTTCGAGAACGAGCTCGGGGTGCAGGCGCCAAGTGTTTTTTGTCAATACCAGAAGTATCATTATTTGACATCTCTGCGTGATTGTGTCCATCGAGGATGTTGTTTTTCAACGGTAGCCGTGCAGGGTTTGATCATTATAGCGATTGAACGTCATCAGCACGCAAAGCACAACATGAATATACATATACACTGACTGCACTTGCTATATGGTTTGCTTTGCGGGGCGGTTGATTCCCTTCATCAGGTTTATCAATGAGAGATAGAAGATACACAACTATGTACTTGACAAGCATGGCTGTGAAGCCTTGTAGTAGCATTGTTGTTGATATGCTGCCAGGGGATAGTCTTCAAGATGTTGCATGCGTAAGGTTGAGGGTTGCTCAAGGATAACATGATTTGACACCACGCCCAGCACACTGGATGCAGTGACATGACGTTATTTCTTGTTTCGAGTATGCAGACATCCCTTTGTATCGTCTCATGGGTTGATAAGCAGACATCAAGGCATCGCGTGATTTGATCGCACGATTTCATCACACGACGCAGACAGCCAAAGTGTATTGATACATGCACGAACTTCAAAGTTTCAAAGTGCAAGAGTTTTGTGGCAGGCTCCTGTGGGATTTTGGGATCCCGCCGGGTTCACGGCCGATGGCAGCACCGAGAACTTTGCTCGCCGCCGCCAGACGGAGCTTAAGCATGGTCGCATCTCCATGCTTGCCACAATGGGATACATTACTCCAGAGATCACCGGCAAATTGCCCGGGTACCTTAGTCCTTCGGCTGGCCTGAAGTTCGCGGATGTCCCCAACGGCCTCGCGGCGATTTCCAAGGTGCCCGCTGCAGGGTGGGGTCAAATCTTGGCTTACATGGCCTTCTGCGAGGTGTCCCAGGACCAGTCGGCGGGAACTCCTGCTGCGGCGGGCGACTTCGGATTCAAGGTGCTGACTGCCTCGGACCCGGAGGCGAAAAAAACGAAGCTCGCCGCGGAGTTGGCGAACGGCAGACTTGCGATGATGGCCATCATCGGCATGTTCTTTCAAGACGGCCTGACAGGAAGCGCCTGGGGTGACTGGGCCAACTACACCGCCTCGCCGCTGCGCGCCTTCGAGAACGAGCTCGGGGTGCAGGCGCCAAGTGTTTTTTTTCAATACCAGAAGTATCATTATTTGACATCTCTGCGTGATTGTGACCATCGAGGATGTTGTTTTTCAACGTCAGCCGTGCAGGGTTTGATCATCATAGCGATTGAACGTCATCAGCACGCAACGCACAACACGTATAGACATATACACTGACTTGCGGTTGTTTAGTTGGCTTTGCGGGGCGGTTGATTCACGTCATCAGGTTTATCAATGAGAGATAGAAGATACACAACTATGTACTTGACAAGCATGGCTGTGAAGCCTTGTAGTAGCATGGCTGTTGATAGCTCATAAAGATGTACGCGTTGCCAGGGGATAGTCTTCAAGATGTTGCATGCGTAAGTTTAAGGGTTGCTCAAGGATAACATGATTTGACACCACGCCCAGCACACTGGATGCAGTGACATGACGTTATTTCATGTTTCGATTTCATACAGTATGTAATTTCTTGATTGGTTGCGTGCAGACATCCCTTTGTATCGTCTCATGGGTTGATAAGCAGACATCAAGGCATCGCGTGATCTGATCGCACGATTTCATCACACGACGAAAACAGCCAAAATGTATTGTGATACATGCACGAACTTCAAAGTTTCAAAGTGCAAGAGTTTTGTGGCAGGCTCCTGTGGGATTTTGGGATCCCGCCGGGTTCACGGCCGATGGCAGCACCGAGAACTTTGCTCGCCGCCGCCAGACGGAGCTTAAGCATGGTCGCATCTCCATGCTTGCCACGATGGGATACATTACTCCAGAGATCACCGGCAAATTGCCCGGGTACCTTAGTCCTTCGGCTGGCCTGAAGTTCGCGGATGTCCCCAACGGCCTCGCGGCGATTTCCAAGGTGCCCGCTGCAGGGTGGGGTCAAATCTTGGCTTACATGGCCTTCTGCGAGGTGTCCCAGGACCAGTCGGCGGGAACTCCTGCTGCGGCGGGCGACTTCGGATTCAAGGTGCTGACTGCCTCGGACCCGGAGGCGAAAAAAACGAAGCTCGCCGCGGAGTTGGCGAACGGCAGACTTGCGATGATGGCCATCATCGGCATGTTCTTTCAAGACGGCCTGACAGGAAGCGCCTGGGGTGACTGGGCCAACTACACCGCCTCGCCGCTGCGCGCCTTCGAGAACGAGCTCGGGGTGCAGGCGCCAAGTGTTTTTTTTTCAATACCAGAAGTATCATCATTTGACATCTCTGCGTGATTGTGACCATCGAGGATGTTGTTTTTCAACGGTAGCCGTGCAGGGTTTGATCATTAAAGCGATTGAACGTCATCAGCACGCAAAGCACAACATGAATATACATATACACTGACTGCACTTGCTATATAGTTGGCTTTGCGGGGCGGTTGATTCCCTTCATCAGGTTTATCAATGAGAGATAGAAGATACACAACTGTGTACTTGACAAGCATGGCTGTGAAGCCTTGTAGTAGCATTGTTGTTGATATGCTGCCAGGGGATAGTCTTCAAGATGTTGCATGCGTAAGTTTAAGGGTTGCTCAAGGACAACATGATTTGACACCGCGCCCAGCACACTGGATGCAGTGACATGACGTTATTTCATGTTTCGAGTATGCAGACATCCCTTTGTATCGTCTCATGGGTTGATAAGCAGACATCAAGGCATCGCGTGATCTGATCGCACGATTTCATCACACGACGAAAACAGCCAAAATGTATTGTGATACATGCACGAACTTCAAAGTTTCAAAGTGCAAGAGTTTTGTGGCAGGCTCCTGTGGGATTTTGGGATCCCGCCGGGTTCACGGCCGATGGCAGCACCGAGAACTTTGCTCGCCGCCGCCAGACGGAGCTTAAGCATGGTCGCATCTCCATGCTTGCCACGATGGGATACATTACTCCAGAGATCACCGGCAAATTGCCCGGGTACCTTAGTCCTTCGGCTGGCCTGAAGTTCGCGGATGTCCCCAACGGCCTCGCGGCGATTTCCAAGGTGCCCGCTGCAGGGTGGGGTCAAATCTTGGCTTACATGGCCTTCTGCGAGGTGTCCCAGGACCAGTCGGCGGGAACTCCTGCTGCGGCGGGCGACTTCGGATTCAAGGTGCTGACTGCCTCGGACCCGGAGGCGAAAAAAACGAAGCTCGCCGCGGAGTTGGCGAACGGCAGACTTGCGATGATGGCCATCATCGGCATGTTTTTTCAGGTGCGGCTGGCCTGCCTTTGACGAATTTATTTTGAGGTGTCAAGATTGCTCTTGGTATGCTTTTAAGGCACCTTGTTTTCATTGTTTTCACGCGCGCCCTTTGGATGTCAGTGCAAGCCAGGATGGCCTGACGGGAAGTGCTTGGGGAGACTGGGCCAACTACACCGCCTCGCCGCTTCGCTGAGGCTGATCCTTTGCTGAACTTAGCAACTGAGGCCGACGTGTGGAGAAAAAGCACTCTGCGGCCGGCGGAGGTGGTCGAAGACTCCCAGTTGATGAACACCCTTTGTTTTTTTTTGACAGGGTGGACGCCTTCAGCGTTTTTGGGTGCCTACTTGGCGCCACTTTGAAAAGTAGGCCGGCCACTTTGTGTTGGCGTGGCACAAAAACACAAGACGTTTTCACGAAAAGCATGCATTTTTGGGGCTTATGTGAGTATTTGGGGCTTTCACAAAAGCATTCCATATGTCTTGCTTTGATGTGGTGAACCTAGCGTAGGGATGGTCAATAGCCCTTGATCATGGCCTTGACAACATACAACATATATGTACACAATAATATACATATATATATATATAAATACATATGTGGATATTGGCTAGCAACCAACAATTTTGCCCTTCCTTCGCTTGCGAAGCAGATCGCAAACTGGACGGCAGGCTGCTGGTGACTTCGATCATGTTTGAAGAGTGGACTGGTGTTTGCAACTTGGGTTCTTCGCCTTGCAAAACTTGGGCAGGAAAGAATAGCAAGCCAACGAACACGTTATCAGCCGTTTTGCGGTTTCCGCTGGCCGATCCTTGCCTTTCCAACAAAAGAAGGCATGTTAAATGTGGCGAAATTGGCAGGAATACAAGAAGACCCATGACAAGCCGCCGGTGAACGGCTGCAAGGAAACTGTGAAGTACAAGGCTGGGAAGTTTGATTGGCGAAGGGAGGGGAGATCAGAATAAGCAGATAGGAAGTTGTGTCGGCCGTTCCCAGCACTGGTCACCTTGGCAGATCAACTGCCAATGCTCCCGCAATCAGCTTCATGAGGCTTCTGAAGCCTACCGGTCAATTCATGAACGCTAAACGACCAACCTGTGGGAAGAAGCTATTTGACTGTTGCAAAGTTGGTGTGTTTGGGTGAATCCCATGCAACCTTGACAAGTTGGCACCAACTTGAAGGCCAGCGGGATTTCTCACGGCCTAAATGGTTGGCTTTCCTCTTGGATTCCTCATCCCAAGTCTTGACGCATGGGTTCACGTCACCGGCCCACTTGGACTCGCTCTCAGTGTCATTCCAGACGCTTTACGCGGGAAGTTTCACGGGCGCGGGCTCACGAGAGGACCTTGAGCCACGAAAACACGCCATGACGACTTGATTGTTACAAAGATGTGTCTTCTTCCCAATGGGATAACCACTGAGCAGATGTAGCAGGTTAATGTCCAACGAGCCTCGCCTGTTTCCAGGCGCTCATCAAATTCGACAGCCACGTGCTCGCGTCTCAGAGGGTGCCAGGTGGGCAGACTCTACTCGGATGTGGGCACTGCCCGACACCCTTGTTACACATTGTAGAAGGGGGTTTCCTGGTAGAACCGGTTGAGTATGTTTGAAGTGAAGCGCGCTGCTCAGCTACGCATAGGAAAAAACGTATACATGTCTAAGATCTCTGCAAGTGTATTTTCATTCGAATCGTGAATCCAAGAGCATGCGCTCATCGCCCTTGCAATGTTCGGACATCCGCATTTGTCATCTATCAGGCTCACAATCGCACAAGGTCTTCAACTTTATGCAGGAACGCAGGAACATAGCAACTGCAGATTGTCACATGGCTACGTATTTTGATAAGACCCCAAAGAAGGCTGGTGGACGTGGATCCGCATGTAAATGATGTTCACCAACGAACACAAATTAACGTTGATACCCACATGAGTGAGGGCACATTGCAAGCTGAGTGACGGGCGAAGGTCAACCACGCCGCGTGAGATGAATGTACGCTTTCCCCAACACATGCTCCCATCGGCCCATCTCAGCATTTGGTAGGGCCGCTCTTGTCAATTTTCGAATGGCATCTATTCACATTTTATGTGACACGTCCGAGTTGCAAGACTTGCGGTCAGGTGTTCGACGATTGCACATTGGCAGCGATCAGTCATTGTTTCTGGCTTTGCTACAGCCAAACACTTTTGTCTACTCTTCCATTGCGATGCCAGACGCGTTGAACCGTCTTTGCCGCCATTCTCCTGGCAATCCTGTTTTTGTTGCTCTGGAGGCGACAGGTCATGAACACATTTCCCACTGCGGCCGAGCCTCCAAGCCTGCGCAAAAGGCTGGTTGATCAGCAGAAGACCTTGGGCGTATTCTTGGTGAAGCCGGACCAAGCAGATGAAGAGGCGAGGCCCGAGTTCCAGAATAAACCTCGGGGCTTTCAGTCCCATGCTGACGCCAGAGGGTGAGCTCGTGCTTGGCTGCCAGTCAAGCTCTATCATCCCCTGAATTACAGCGATGTCAAGGAAGTTCTGTCGACTCTCATCAATCTTGGGTTGGTCACCCTGTCGCTTTTCACCAATTTTGCCAATTTTTGCGCTGGGTCACATGCTCGACAGGAGTGTTGCTTGATAGGCGGTACATATTGACGCCACACAAGTTGTGTTCATCGTTTGTAGCAGAACACAATAGTCGTCTTGACATGTTCGAAAGGGATCTGTCACACCGCGGCGAAGGAAGGGGACTCTTCCTTAGTTACATTTCTTTTTGGAACGGTTTACACGTCACCTTGTGGCTCTGTTAAAGTAGCTTCCCTATATCAGGAACCCAGAGGGAGTGGCAGAATTGGTGCAAGAAGGGGCTCATCCCTCCCAGAGACCTCTCTGGGATCGAAAGTTTGGAAGATCACCAAAGCACCTGATTTCAGGCCAACACCTCTTGAGAGGCTTGCATGTTGTCTTTCAAAATGGTGGATTCAGCTTTGCAGGAAGGACTTGGCATTTTCAAACCCTGCCGCCGCAGCGCAGGGGCAGTCAAAAGCTTTGCAACAAAGAGCTGTAGTGATTTTTGAAGCATGTCCTTCCTGAAGCCTTACCTTGCCATCTTGCGTGGTTTCTTCATACAGGACCCCCTCTTTGAATTGTGGGTTTACCTCAGTTCCCGTAAACTCATTCAACACACCATCTACTTTTGGAATTCGCCATACTTGAATGTTTCCAAGGAATCTTATCGTCTGTAATTGTGTGTGTCTTGCGCATCCAGAGTGGCAGACATTTGCTATTTGGGAAGCCTGCGCTGAAGATTTGCCGCTGCAGTTTGGGACAGCCGAACGCGCAGACATAGCCTCCCGTCTTGGCCAGATCGACGTCTTCCGGCCCGCCAAGAATGAGGGTATTGTGGTAGAGGAGGGGTGCTCGGCTGCGAAGTGGAGTGCGACACGTCATCTTTGGTGCCAAAAACGACAAGGGCAATTCAAATGTTGGAATGTGTCAACATATTTTCTCTCTTTTGCTGGATCTAAACACTGAAGCAACCACTCCAGTTCCTTTGCACCGCTGGAAACGGGTGGTTAGAAGATCCGATTGATTGGAGCCAGTATGGATGCCGGGCATGCATCCCAGTTTGCCGAGCAGAGCGTCACTCCTTTCCCTACCATGCCTCCACAGAATCCCTTCCTTTTGAAACGAGATCGGCCACGACTTTTAGTAGTAGTCTGCTTGAAAGAAGACGACATACTTGCTATGAGTCTGCTCGGAAGAAGACAACAATCAAACATGCTGCCAATAGGCATTTCCGTGCCCATGCTTACGGTCCATTCAGGAACTTGCTGGAACTCTCGTTCACAGGTTGCATGTAATAACATTATGGCAGACGGTAAGACGCTTTGTCGCGGCGGCTGGCGCCACTACGCAGCATGGCTTATACTGGATAGTGAGCAGCGAACAGTGAACGGCAAGCAGCGCAGCATTGGGAGTGAGACATTGCGATACCTGGCCACTCAGATGGGAGCATCGAGTCGCGCGCAGGGCATGCTGAGCCTGGATTTCTGCCTGCGGGATCGTGATCAAGCAAGGGCTCGGAGGGCCCAGGTAGATGTGACTAGTTTGCGTGCGCGTGTTTATTACATATATATATATATATGTTCTCACCCACCACAGGAGCGCCCACCCTTCTACTTGCAGACCGTGCAAACATGCTTAATGCAAAAGGTGGGGCGATCATACATCACATAGGCATTTATACATGTATATCTATATGTATATACATACACATATATATATATATACACATCATTTGGTTGCGGCGGACGTGTACTTCATGCACACTTTCTTTCATATACACATACAGATCTGACCCTTTGCTTCGGGCCCCAAACTTCGTTCGATCCTCAAAGACTCTGCAGCTCTTTGCCCGAGGAGAATCCATGAGTCGTGGCACCAATAGGTCAGTGCAGGCACTTGGGTCTAGCCTTGAGGGCTTCCTTTTTTTTTCTGGGGGGGCGGAAACGGGCTTCTGCGAACGATCGCATGAAAGTGATGGGGGACCTGCCTAGGCCTCAGAAAGTATCAAAGGCACTCCAACTAGCTTTGGGTTCTCAAAACCTGCGCAGGCTCAAAAACGCATGCAAGCGAATCCAAACATTCGGAGCAATCAAGTCCCGGCATCTAGCATCGCATTTGGGCTTTGTTTTGTGTGCATGTTTTGAGCCTGTTCAGGTTTAGAGCTTTGAGCCTTGCCTTTTTAGATTTTGGATTTTTGAGCCTGTGCAGGTTTTGGACTTCAAACCATCAAGAGCGGGAAAATGTGTTTTGCACTTTCAGCTAGACACCGCTGCACAAAACAGTTGTTTCGCGGTTCACATCAAGCACACAGACAACACCTGGCGCAATGCAACAGTATGACGCCATCACTGTACATCATAGTGCTTTTGCTAGGCATCTGCAAGCCAAGTGGAAACTGAAGATTTGCAAGCGATTGCGCCAAAGCAGAAAGGTGGTCCGGGTGTGGGGAGGGAGGGGTTTGACCACATATATATATATATATATACACATCATTATATATATATATATGTATATTGTTGTTAAATGTGTATTGTAATCATACATACGTATACTTTTTTGGGGCTTTGGGGACAGCAGCAAAAATCGGTGCATTTCCAAAGACAATCTGAAAGCTTCAGCCAAGCTTTTCCAGGAAAATCTTGAATTTAG